GACAAAATGCTGCATGTTTCTTTGTGAAATTGAAATATAACACTAATAATATACTAATATAGCACTTGTATATTATTGCTCTTTTGTTGGTTTTGATTGCTTCTATTGTCCTCATTTGGATCTCCACTTTGGATAGAAGCGTCTGCTAAATGACACAATTTTTTGAATCGATTTTCAACCGGCTCGCGGTTAATCGTTACATCCCTACATTTTAAACAAAAATTATGTCAAATAAATGTTTTCAGCAATTCGCTCACGGAATTCATCTGATATGTTGGCTTTGCTATGATAAACACCGGTTGCGCTGCTGTTTTCATGTGGGTGTATAGTGCTACTTACACTATTCTTCCAGCTCGCAGACACTGAACGTGTGTGGGTTGATGAGGTAAAACTGGACAAGTTTTCTTTTGCGTGCACCCGTTTTTAACGCGTCTTGACTGTCGTACAGTCTGAGATTAATGACAACTGAGATCCCACAGTGTGACATGATCATGTTCGTACAGTCTGACAAGTACAATCCTAAAGGACTTTAAAAAAAATCGCACAGTGTGAGCCCGGCTTTAGTTGACACCTTGACTCTGTAATCCTAGTAGAGTATTTTTCATAAATAAATAAATATTTAAATGGAAGTTTGTGTGCATTGGGAATCATATTTATATATATTTTTTCAAATAAAGTCTAGGTAACACTCATTTTACATACAGCACACAGTGAAAATGAGATGAATATGATAGTGGGCAGATGAATAAAGTGCAGCATAATTTGAAATCACGAGTTTAAAGTTTGTCGATCGCGAGTCTTAATGAAGCTGAACTCTCCTCCTGTCTGCATTCAATTCACACGGACCGTCACGCGGAGCACACGCGATCATATGCAGGATACAAATGCACACTTCAATTTATGTTTATCTATAATATATATGTATTTATATAAACTTTATATGTCAGCCATCAGCCACCCTGCTCTCCAAGATATTGGCATCAGCAATCAAAAAAATATCATATCAGTCGGCCACTAGTGAATTCCAAGCAGCATTCTGCATTTTACATCTAGATGGTGGGACAGTTTGAGTGAACTCATGAACAGGATAGGCTTTTATTGTTGTTTTGTTTGTGATAAATTACACACATTTTCATCATGGATTTCACCTCTTTCATAGAAACCAAATGTTGGTCACACTTTAGTTTGGGGATCAAATGTCACTATTGACTATGACTTTTGCCTCAGTAAACTCCTAATTTGCTGCTTATTAATAGTTAGTAAGGTAGTTGTTAAGTTTAGGTATTGGACCAGGTTAAGGGATCTAGAATATTGTCATGCAGAATAAGGCATTAATATGTGCTTTATAAGTGCTAATAAACTGCCAATATGCTAGTAATATGAATGCTAATAAGCAACTAGTTAACAGTGAGAACTGGTCCCTAAACTAAAGCGTTACCAAATTTTGAAATCAAACAGACTCTGGTTCACACCATAAGCTGTCAGGATAAGAAGCTTACTTGCGTAGTTTGCCTTCTATAATCCACTTGTTTTTCCTGTAGGTTGTCATATTCTCTAGTGTGTTATCAATCTCCCTGCAGAAACAGAACGGTTGGAAAATGAAAATGATGTTTACATATGCAGATCTACAAACCTCTTTTAAATTATGAGGATAATATGATTTGAATTCCTGCTGACCTGGTGATTATGTTGCTGGCGTTGAGTTCCTCCACCAGGAAGGCCAGTATGGAGGCTTTGACGTCGGGTTTGAGGGTCTGGAAGCTCTTTGTACGCAGACTGTTACACACCTCCAACTCAAAGCCATGGGCTTCCAGAAAGATCCGCAGCACCTCGGACACAGTGCTGTGGCTCAGCTCCAGATCCACCAGCTTCTCCCCAAGGATCTTCACAGACTGAGACAGGAAGGAGAAACAAACCAACCTTCATTAAATCATTGACCAATCACTTGCCTTAAATTAAGGGCAAAACCCACCCTTCATTATTTCCCACTGAGCATTCACCTGTTTTCCATTAATGTTTCTATTAAAGTATAATACGACTTTAAAATACTTAAGCATAACATGTTGCGGATGCAGTTTCTTGTTGGTTTTTATGGCTAATGTTCAGTTATTTTAGTTTTAAGTAATTTTAACCATGTTCAAAGTTATGTTTCAGATAGCAACGGATGGGTTGTACACTTTTTTGACACCGCTATAAATAGAAAACAACTCAATACACTGATATCACACAAAAGACAAACCTGGTAATATGAAGGCAGTCCAGGATCGTGCAGAGCGGCCTCCACCAGTTTAATAAGCAGATCCAGGAGCTCGCCTTGGCTCTTCTCCATGCCGAGGAGCCCTTCCTGCAGGGCGCTCAGGCTGGGAATATCCTTGGGCACCTGGAGACCCAGAATCTTTCCGTAACCATGCAGGAACTCAACCAACCTTAAACAATTGGAGAAGGCCAAACCCGAAAGCACCAGTCCCGGTATCCGTGACAATTGTGGGAGGGGCTACAGAGGGAGAGCGAGACAACTCAATGAGTAATTGAATAAAAACCATCCCAGATATGACGCCACACACATAATTGCCAAACATTCAGCGACACACTCAGAAGAAACAGTAGTAGACTAGTTTAAGCTCCTCAAATGAAAGTACTATCAACATTATGTATTATGGTGTGTGTGGAGTGAGAGGAGCGGGAGAAGCAAAGTGGGCATTTTCAAGACCCGGACTACATGCTCACACAAGGGATTGTGGGATTGACGGGATCAGAGAAAGCATCAAGACTGTCCAAAATGTGAGAAATGCTCTACTTTTAAAATTGTGTGGGAGTTTCTAGAGAATTCTTCAAATTCGAAAAATCTTCCATCTGCGTAATTACCGTCAAGCTGTGACAAGCAAAAAGCAACATTTTTGAAGCCTTAGTTTCCATTTCTCATATATATATATATATATATATATACACACACACATACATATTTTATAAATATATTTATTATAAAAAGATTAAATTATTTAATGTATTTATTTTCATGACTTTTCCAGATCTATTAAATAAATGAATAAATATTAAATAAATAATATTAAAATAAATAATATGCGCAAGTAAAATTCCAGGTTCATGAGAACCCTGGTTCTTAAAAAAATGACAGTTGTTAAGGGAATAAATTAAAAAGAGAAATAGGATTTCAACTTGCATCTTCATTTTTAGCCGTTTAGGTTCTTTGAACCTTTTGTCTTTTTTTTATTTTATTTTAAATCTAAACCATCTTGCAGCCTTTGGAAGTTTTGCTGAGGCCCCCACTATACCACTATAGATATTACAGACCTGCCAACCTCGGAAAATGTTTTGGAGTACCATCTGTTTTGCGGGGGAGAGGGTTGGGGTATGGGGGTGGTTTGCAAGATTTAATGTTAAATATTTTTTATAGGTTAATAATCAGTGTCTGCACTCAGTTTGTGATATTTCTGTTATACAGTATTTTAGAGTAAAAAGTAGGGATGCAACAATACAGTTAGCCCACGGTTCAATAAATACCTCAGTTTTTTTGGGGGGTTTTTTACCAGTTCTTTTAGTTCTTTTATGCTATTTTTAAATGCAAAGTATTATTTTTATGGATTGGCCATTATTTAGTGCTATGAACATGTAATGTGCGTTTCATTCACACTGGACGCGCAGAAAATCCACATATACATTATAGAAGAAATAGAACTCAGGATGCTCCAGAAAATCCCTAATATTGACAAAAAACAGCCAACTATCTCTGTAACTGAATAAAAGAAGACAGAAACGCTTTGAATGATGACATTCAAAAAGAACATTAAGATAATAAACACTGTACTGCGACAATGTTTATCTGTGTTCTTAAAACCACCTTGAGTATTTTAATAATTAAGTAACATTATTTATATATAGATTTTACAACGTAATGGTATTTATAATCCACTGCTAATCGACTTAGCCGTTATTCCAGTGTAGAATTTATTTCTGCGTCATTCTGTGATAAGAAGCCACATCAGATCAAGAGGGAAACTATTTTAAATATTTGTCTGATGTTGTGCAGTAAAAGAATGCTATAATGTTCTTTTTTGTTGTTGGACAAAAGGTTTAGTCAGTACAAGGGAAGATGCTCGGCGTGTGTTGCTTTTTCAGATGCAGGCGTTTTCTCATCTCAGCGCGCAGACTCACGGACACACAAACAGAGCCAGCTTGGAGAGAAATAAAAAGCACGCAAATTTAAAAGCAAAACCTAAAAAGCGCTCTCATTGGTTGAACTCTTCATCTTTTTCTGTTGCTTGTTTGGAATACTGCACGTGGACAGAGGCGTCACCAGGTTTTTTTTTAGTAGTTTAGAGTGACAAATCGTACCAGCGTACTTTGAGGTCAAAATGCGTATCCGCTACGCAAAATGCGTACAGGTTGGCAGGTCTGGATATTATTATTATTACCTACAGTTGCCATAGAGTTATCATCATCATTCAAAATCATATTTCCAGGTTTTTAAGTTCTGTACATATTTGAAGAATATTTCCTACTTTGGCTTTCCGTTTCTCCTGCCGGATCTTTTTATTCTTTGCATCCTCCATTCTTTTCATTCTTGCCTGCATGAGAAAAATCAGATGATCAGTTGGTCCCCAAAATAGACTTGTTATAGAAAATAACAATAATATAAAGTCAGCTCACCTTTCTCTTCATTTTCTTCTTGATCTTGATCAGTTTTTCTTTTTCTTGCTCTGTGAGGTCCTCTGTTAAACAATCAACATGAACTGAGTAAAGATGCTCATTATATTTCACAAAAAAGCTACAACTACAAAATGAAGATAAAAAGGTGGTGCTTCTGCAACAAGTATATTTTTATTAAACATACAATCCACCGAAGCAATCTGAGGACAAGTGTTTTGCTCCAGGGATCGACAGGGACAGTTTGCACCTTGCCCTACACCTCACCTGCTCATTCTTACATGCTGACAGTTTCTCCAGTTGAGACACGATATTAATATTCAGACTCACCCTTTGCCTCCAGTCTCTTCAGCAGCCTGGCGTCCACTTTGCTGAGCAGATCCTCCATCTTGGGCTTAGGAGGTCGGCCTGGCCGTCTCCCTGGGGCTCCTCTGGCTCGGCAGCCACGGGAACGAGGCTCTTTGTCTGGATTTGGTGGACGACCGCGTCTGCCTGTTATTGCCATGATCATGGAGGGCACTTCCTCATTGGCGAGGAGGAACCATTGCATACCCTGTAACAAATTAAAGAGCGATAACATGTCTAGGAACAGCATAACTGTGAGGGATGTTGCTGCTGAAAACCACATGTTCGCCTGTAGCACCTGTACACATCTTCATACACACCTCAGGGCTTTCCCGCTCCTCATAGAAATCCCCCACTGGCATGCGTGGACTGAAGCTGAAGTGCTCTCTCGAAACGCCCTGGAGAGCATCCTGATGCCTGTTCAGATACTGGAGGATGTAGGAGAGACAAAAGCAACCGGATGAAGACGGAAGCCTTTTTATCACTCACGCAGATTAGGTTACAGTGGTATTGTGGTGCAGGTATGACAGCTCTCACCTTGATGACCTCGGGGAACTGCTTCATCCTCCGGCCGCAGGGGCTATAGTACCACGTCTCTCCTTTCAGGCGGTCCTCGAGCCTCCGGACTCGAATCTCTCGCCTCCAGCTAGCAAATGTGAAACAGCACGTGAAACAGGATTGCCATACCAGAGAATTCCCAAGACATTTCAAGCTGTTTGAAACTGCTGGATAAGTAAGGTAACACTATAGACTAGGGAACACCACTCACTTGCTTATTAGCATGCATATTACTAGCATATTGGCTGCTTATTAGTAATCATAAAGCACACATTAATGTCTTATTCTGCATGACCATGTTCTAGATCCCTTATCTGTCACCTCCTGAAGTATCAGGTACATTCTCTTTGCCAAGAATATGATCACCTATGGGGAATACAGTGCGTTGTGTTTAAACAACTGACATCAAAAGATGTCCACAATGCACCTGCCAAGCATTCAAATCACGATTGAGTGTTTAGTGTTCAATTACACATGAAAAAAAAAGTGTTAAAACTACACATTTTACAGAAAAAAATTTGGATGTACAATATATTGAGACCGTACTGGTTACCAGCTAATCAGTAAATTTTTTTTTATCTTATCGGTCGATATGGGATATGCATTTGGTACATGCCCACTACCTTTCATCACCTTACGTCATCAAAGGCTCTCTCTGGGCCTCTTCGGTCACTTTTGACCAAAAAATTTTACATTTTGACATTTTAAAAGTCATAGCTTCATCGGAACGCTATGAAACTTGGTGACTTTTATGGCATTTGGCTTGTGAACACACACAATAAAATTGAGAGCATGATTTTAAAAGGCATGACTTAAAAAAAAAAAAAAAAAAAAAGTATCACACTTGGTCTTTGCGGTCAAAAATGGTGTTCACTTGGTCACACTTGGTCTTTGCGCCACAGGAAACCAATGGGAAATAGGAAAAAATTTGAAAACACAGGGAAAAAAAATTTGCACAGCTAGTCTCTACTTTACCATGGAATACTACATTAATAGAAAAACTTTTTAATTTAAATTATAAAAAATGGATCATAATTATTGCATAAATATCAATTAGCACCATAAAATTCTCAAAATATAAAATGAAAAAACAATATTATTGAACAAAAATACATAACTTTGATTTTCCTGGAAAAAAAATTAAAACATTTCAAGGCTTGTGTCACTTTTGACCGTGAAGGTACCAAGTGTGATAAATAAAAACACTAATAATTTAACAACATTGTTAACTGTAACCTTCAGCAAATTAACAATGATTCATTTGTTTATTAATCCATTATTAGTTCATTATTAGTGCACTGGAAATCTCACCTTTGATAGAGAGTGAAGAGGCATTAATAGATGCAGACAGCAGGGAGGAGCTGTTTTGTGAGGTGTCGTTTAAAGAGTCATCCAGTAGAGACGTGGTATCTTTGAGGGACGCCTCCTCGGTGGAACTGGTAGAGGTCATGGAGCTGTTCAAGTTTTCTTCTTCACAAGAAGTGTCCTGCAAGTCCCTGGAGTCATCAATCATAGATCCTTCTGTAAACTTTGATTGGTCTCCAGTCTGGGAAAGACTATAAGAATTATCAAAAGTGTCCATCTTTGAACTCCCATCCTCAGCTCTTGAGCTTTCAAGGTAGGTTGACTCGGCCAAGGACGGATAGTCCAGTGACGTGTCAGTGCCAAAAGTATCATTTAAAGTCTCACTTTCTCCTTTCCTTGGGGCAGTCTGAGCTCTGATACTATTAGAGTCCTTTCTGCCAACTGCCATAGTGTCTCTTTCAGGTTCCTTTGGAACAATGAAAGCCAGTTCAAGGTTTCTACCATGAATTTGCACCTTATGCATCTCAGCTTGAGTCTCATTGTTGGACTCCTTTTTGGATGTGCCCATTATGATTCCAACTTTACTCTGGGAACCACAGGCCTCAGGTCTAGAGTGCGATTCCCCAAAGTTGTGCCGTACTACACCATGAGAACCCATCTGCCCTGGACTGTGAGAAGAAACGTCCGCATTTGCCACCGTCTCTAAAGGCTGAGTAACAGAGCCAATGAGGGAGCGAGATACATTTGGAGAAACATTGAGAGATGCTGAAGATGCCTGAGGAGAATAGCTAACAGCAGGAGGTGGTGCAGATGAAGCCAGAGCGGCAACTTGAGGAGAACCAGCGACCACAGATGGAAGTGCAGAGACTGTCGAGAGAGAGACGTTATCGGCAACAGATGTTGGAGTCGAGGAAGCAGCAGGATGTTTAGGACTCTGGCCTGTTAGAGGTGATGCCTCTTGGGGTCCTTTAAGTGGTGCCAGCGCAGGAGGAGTGGAGACAACAGATGGTGACGCAGCCAAAGATAGAGGTGTTGGAGAGACCTGTGGTCTCCAGTCTGGGAAAGACTATAAGAATTATCAAAAGTGTCCATCATTGAACTCCCATCCTCAGCTCTTGAGCTTTCAAGGTAGGTTGACTCGGCCAAGGACGGATAGTCCAGTGACGTGTCAGTGCTAAAAGAATAATTTAAAGTCTCACTTTCTCCTTTCCTCGGGGCAGCCTGCTCTCTGATACCATTAGAGTCCTTTCTGCCAATGGCCGTAGTGTCTCTTTCAGGCTCCTTTGGAACAATGAATGCTGGTTCAAGGTTTCGACCATGAATTTGCACCTTATGCATCTCAGCTTGAGTCTCATTGTTGGACTCCTTTTTGGATGTGCCCATTATGATTCCAACTTTACTCTGGGAACTACAGGCCTCAGGTCTAGAGTGCGATTCCCCAAAGTTGTGCCGTACTACACCATGAGAACCCATCTGCCCTGGACTGTGAGAAGAAACGTCCGCATTTGCCACCGTCTCTAAAGGCTGAGTAACAGAGCCAATGAGGGAGCGAGATACATTTGGAGAAACATTGAGAGATGCTGAAGATGCCTGAGGAGAATAGCTAACAGCAGGAGGTGGTGCAGATGAAGCCAGAGCGGCAACTTGAGGAGAACCAGCGACCACAGATGGAAGTGCAGAGACTGTCGAGAGAGAGACGTTATCGGCAACAGATGTTGGAGTCGAGGAAGCAGCAGGATGTTTAGGACTCTGGCCTGTTAGAGGTGATGCCTCTTGGGGTCCTTTAAGTGGTGCCAGCGCAGGAAGAGTGGAGACAACAGATGGTGACACAGCCAAAGATAGAGGTGTTGGAGAGACCTGTTGACTTTTTGATCCCTGGGCCTCCGGTACTGTTTGAGGAGGCACAGGCACCGTTGGAGGATGCATCAAGGTCTTTGAAGAAAACACCAGAGACTGGTTGTGGGAACCAGCAGGAGGAGCTCTGGAGCTCTTAGGAGAAGACATTGAAGGAGCTGTACCAAGTCCTGCAGGTGTTCCTTCAGCTGATGAAGGTCCAGAGAATCCAGGTCTTTGGCCTTGGACCATCTGAAGCGGTGGTGTGAGAGGAGAGGGTGGAGACACAGATGCATTTGCGCCGACACCCAAAGCTGTAGATAAAGCAAACCCTGGAGACGAAGGAGAATGTGAATCCTGCAGGGTCAAAGTTTTCCGAGGCGGACTAGCTAGGGGTGGAGGAGGTCCAGAGACGGGGGAAGAACTAAGTTCCTTTGCAGCAGCTCCCATCTCCTGACGTTGTTTTACAGGTTTCTCCAGGTCCACGGCTGAATGCTGCGCAGCCTGGTTATAGTCGGTAGAGGAAACAGAGCCAGGGGGCTTTACAGGAAAACTCTCAGTTTTGGGCAACCGTTGGGGTACAGAGCTTTTCTCGACTCCATTGAAGCCTTTATCCATTTCTTTAAAGGACTCATTCATAGAAACTACAGACCACAAAACACATATACAACAGTTGTTAGCGAGAACACAAAACTGTTCAGATAGGTAGCAAAAAACACATTCATTTGTTTGTGGTTTGAAATGCAACTAAAATTGGATTTTTTTAGGTCGTGGATGTGGCCTGAAAAGTAGTGCACTATACTTTTAATGTGCAGGCAACTAGAATTCAAACCCGACTTGCGTTATACACAGTTGTGCAATAGCATGTGCACCGTATTCACTCCTTTACACTCACTATTTTCCCATGTAATGAAATATAAGGCATTTGCTGTATATAATGAATGAGTGAACGAGAGAAAAGGTCCAAAATCAGCATACGCATCAAAGTGGAAATTACAGTAAAGCCTCTGATAGTTGTTGCCTCATGCTCCTCTGAGCAATTTGAATACAGTGTGAATAAGTTCAAAGCAGAGTAAAAAAATGAACACACAGACAATGCATCTTGATCTTCAATGGAAAGCGCAGTATTGTTGATTGTTTAACTGTGTCTAGGCTGCGTGCAGTTTTCCACTGTCTGATGATTGAGGCAGAATGTGGGTGGAAAAGAGAACAGGGGCAAGATATCACCTGTTTACGGACTATCCGTCAGTTTGAATCACTTCTTAATCCAAAAAGTCAACTTCCTTTGGTGAAAACACGTCTGACTGGCCTAAAATTACTTTTGTCAGAGGACAGAATGCTAGTGTTGGTGATATTAAAAGCCATTCAGGAAGTGCATGGCACCACCTAAGTACAGGAAATCAGAACATGCATGATAAAACACGCTGCCATTTTTGTAATCATATTACTTACAATATGAATGCCAAAGATTGTATATTGTTCCACAAAGCTATCTGCAAACAAGTGAAACAATCTTGTTTTTAAATGCTGTAGACCTTATAAAACAAACTTGACACATGGCCCTTCAATACTAAATAAAATGTAATAAATAAATAAATATAGATTTTATAAATATATAAAAAATCTAAACTATAACTGCCCTGTTTCCAACACACTGAGGCCTGTTTGTGGCAGTTGCTCACCTTGCATCTCTCTGCTCTTAGGCGAACCGCTATCAGGCACAGTAGAAGGGGACCTCATTGGGACCTGGACGTGATGGGGGCTGCTTCTTCCTCCTCCACTGCCCATGTGATGGTGCTGAGGGCTTCCTCGTGGAGGTGTAAAGCTCTGCGCGGCGGGTGGTATCATCTGAGCCTGTGGTTGAGACTGAGTTTGGGCCTGGTGCGATGGATGCTGGTAAAACGGCATTCCATTAGGCATCACACCATAATGCTGCTGCTGTTGCTGCTGGTGGTGTGAATGGTGTTGGAGATGATGTGCCGTTGCAGACTGGTGCTGCAAGGCTGGAGGCTGCTGGTGATGCTGGGACGCTGGGATGCCCTGGTTGGGATACGTCCCATATATACTGGGAGAGTTATATCCCATTGGCATCGAAGATCCCCCCTGCGACTGCTGCCCAGGATTTCCCCTTCCCCAATACTGCAGCCCAGCACCTGGAGGTTGCTGGGACGGTCCCATACTGCCGTTGACTTGGTACGGTCCATGGCTCTGGAAGTGGTGCTGAGGCTGCTGTGGTTGTATCCCACCCTGGGAGCCTGGCTTCTGGTGCAACCCGTGGGGAGGGACGGGCCCCATCGCCGGGCTGTACTGAGACTGGTCCCACAGATAGTCATATCCCATGCTGCCTGGGAGGTGATGGTTGCTCATATGAGGATAAGAGGAAGAGGGAGGGTGGGCGCCTGGCTGGCTGCTCTCACCTGCAGTAGTGATGCCATTCACATTCATTTGGCCATTCAGATCTGTGTGACCAACAGCATCAGTCAAAAAACAGAGCATAAAAGCCTTAAAAGCCACCATGTTTATGGATTTATAGACTACATATATGGATAAAAAATGAAATGCAAATACAAGACAGAGACTCACTTTTCCCTTGCTGGGGGAAGCTCATGGAGGACCCGTTAGTATAGAGAGAATCTCCTGAGGAATGCTTCAGTCCTGAGTTTGCTGACACAGAAGAGTGAGGCCCATAGTTAAAATGGTTATTTGCTTCCATCTGGCAGAAGAAGAAAAAAATACAGAACTGAAAGATGATATGAGGCTATTAGATTTTTAGTATTAAGATATTTTCTCTTATGCACAGACAACTGTAAATATGCCAATTGTCACTTGATTTCCCTAAAAAGTCTGGATCTGAATATGCCTACTAAACAGTACACAAATTCAGTATTGTTGTTTCCCAAATGATGCACTATACACTATGCACAATACAAAGTTTAGAAGGGTATCTTATCAAGCATCAGAGTCTAAATGCATGAAGTGTCCATTCCACATTTTGGGTTTTTTTCAATTAATGAAGTGCATCACCCAGGCATTTGAAGTGCACTTCTTATTATTGGACTTGGAACACATTAACAACACGATTTATACTACAAAATGGCATTGAATAGTGCATAAGGACACAAACTGGGACACACCATTTGTCCAAATTCATAGTATTCAAAAAACTAGGAGAAAAGTGCCCAGGTGAACTACTACTTCGGGCGAGATTCTGAAGTAAGCATCCAAAGCACACTTTACTATCCCACAAAGGCCATGGGACAGGATTTGTGAACGGCAGTGAAGCAATATAACTGGATGCCATAGGTCACGTGACAAAGCCAACATGGCAAATGTAGTACTCCTGGATTACATTCACACTACATAAACACTTTTTTCCCCTCTCAGTCGCGAAGTTCGTTCCTCGCCAACTGTAGTGCCTACTGGAGTATGTGATTTCTGACATTCTGTGATTTTCAACAACAAAAAAAAAAAACTAACAATATGACACAGCAATACTGGCTCAATTAATCGAGTAAGTTTAGGGCGGGACTTTCCATTTATCCAACCAATGAGTGACAGGGTGGATTCTGAAGTAAGCATCCAAAGCACACTTTACTATCCCACAAAGGCCATGGGACAGGATTTGTGAACGGCAGTGAAGCAATATAACTGGATGCCATAGGTCACGTGACAAAGCCAACATGGCAAATGTAGTACTCCTGGATTACATTCACACTACATAAACACTTTTTTCCCCTCTCAGTCGCGAAGTTCGTTCCTCGCCAACTGTAGTGCCTACTGGAGTATGTGATTTCTGACATTCTGTGATTTTCAACAAAAAAAAAAAAAAACTAACAATATGACACAGCAATACTGGCTCAATTAATCGAGTAAGTTTAGGGCGGGACTTTCCATTTATCCAACCAATGAGTGACAGGGTGTGGGATATATTCAAGAAACCTGCTTTAACACTTGTCATTACAGATATTACTCACAATAAACAGTACATGTAATTTTGGCATGGAAGAAAATGAGGCTGCGAGGAATAGAATGTTACTGGGTTTTTTTGTTTTTTTACTTTTGGCACTTTCATCAGAAACGACTTACATCAGTTCAGTCAAACCCATGACCTTGGAGTTTCTAGGGCCATGTTTTTACTGTTTGAACAACTAAGGTTGTACTTTTGTTTACCTTGGTGTCTGTCACTCAGCTGTCAGACCATTAAAAACATATCTTTACAAAAAAAAAAAAGTCAGTGGACAACCCATTTTTGTGGCCTAAAAATTGTGTAAAATAAAGGTTAAACCCACAGAGTCATGGAAAAGTTTATATAAATCCTTCCAAATAACCTGACTCATATTTCAATACCACAATTACTTTTTTAAACAACAGGCAGATCCTTCTCGTCCTCCTGTACTAAAAATCTGCAGATTCCAACTCCAAGTCGTTTAACGTTTATGAACCAGAGTGCTGAAGGAAGAGGCTGCGTTTCAAAAGCTAGCGATCTGCCTAACTATACGGCATTTATCAGCGTTGTTGGCGCGTACATAACGTTCTAATTGGATTTTCGGCATCTTTGAGCACATACCGAACGTTCGGAACGCACCAATGACGCTGTGCAGGTCGCCGGTGTGCGAGGTTTTGAGACACAGCCAGTGAGTGAACACTGCTGCGGCGGACATCACAAATATTGCTCTTCACATCTCAACATAAAATGTCGCAGATAAAGCCGATGAGCCAATAGCGTTAAATAACACTCATCTCACACGCAGATTTCATGCTGAACACCAGCCTCAACGACTAACTTACACCTGAAACATAACAACAAGTCAGTCCTGGACATTTTTATAAAAGCCCGTTTAAATGACCTCATGTTAGATTTATGCATTTATATCAAATCGGCACTAATTATTGTATGCGCGTCCATCATTAGCCCCGCAGCTAACAGTAAACATCAAACTCAAAACTGTAAGATTTCATTCAGAATGGCCGTGCAGCCACACGACTTCACTAAAAAGCAACACATACTTAGAAAGAGTGATGTTTGATTAAATACCAAACGGGAAATGTGAATAAATAAACGAGGGAGATGTGGAAGTCGGTTAGCATGAAGGCTAACCGCCGCGCATGACCATGCGCTGCTTCTGGATCTCACTCACACACACACACGCACACATATTAATATATATCCACATTTGATAAAACTTCTCCAACACTAAAACACCACAGCTCAGGGTAAACCAGCTCATATCTGCTCTAGCTCGGTTTCTCCGTTCTCTTTCACAGAATTTCACTCTTGTACGAGCACATATTAAACCATAAAACTGAGAAAAAGAAACGAGACGCGGCCAAACAACAAACACAAAAACAAAAAGACACTGCTTTGAGATAAAAGACTAATTATGTACCATCCATGACCACAAATAAAGATAATGGGAAGACGTTTTAGTGATGTACATAATGAAAACCTAGAGATATACAGACACTTATAAAATGTTATTTTGATATGAAGTTTGATTAAAGTGCTCGGTTTATATCAGCGGCGATGCCGTGACAAAATGAGGCCTGCGTTCCCGCATCACAACGACTCATCGCGACCGTTTATGAGACAATATTCGCCGATTAGCATTAATGTTAATTCAATATTTAGGAGTATGAATGAAATTGGACTCGAATTTACTTTAACAGCGTTTACTCATCGACGAAAGTGGTGTGAGTTAAACGAAAACACCAGCTCTTATTTACATAACCACGGGTTTGTGCGTTATTTAAATAATTAAAGACGTACAGATAAAACGGGCTGATTATATACATACAAGAGGGTTTGTGATCTGTAAGACATTAGGGGAGCTTGTTATGCTTTTAAAGCTCGTTTCTACGAATGCGACGTTAAAAACGGACGTTCATCATCTCGTCTCAGAAGGTCATGTTTCGTTGATTAATTCGGGTTATTAAGAGAAAATGAGGCAGCATCACCCACACAACACACTCTCAAAAGTTTCCCCGTATAATAATTAAACTGCCCAACCTTGATACTTGCCGATCGCACCGGAGACGGGGAGTGTGGCCCCCGGCAAAGGACCGATGTGGATGAATAGGGTGTTAGCGATGTAAATAATAAACGCGTAAATCGCTAACCTTTGGGTTTCAGATTTGCAAACATGGCTGGTAATGTTTGAGCGCAGCCATGATCACAGACGAGAGAAAGAGAGCGAGCCGAAAGAGGAAGTGAAGGACCGCGCGCCTCAAGGGGAAAAAAAGGGGGAGGGGAGGGGAGAGGAGAGGAGAGGAGAGGAGAGGAGACCCGTGCCAAACACCAGGACCTCTGCTCCGAGTCTGACTCGAACCACTCTCCCCACTGTAGCCTCCTGAGACACCCAGCTATGGAGTTTTTGTCTCTGTAGTAGACATCATATTTTAGTGAATTTCTCTGAGACCCCACATGTCACAGTTGTAAGTCTGGATGTCCTGTACAGAGCACATTCAGGGCTTTCCAGAGATACCAAATAGTTGGAAGTTTCTCCATGACCACTCTCTCTCCTTGATCTTT